TTGGAATTTGCTGTTTGCTGTACTTATTCAAACCCAGGAATCTGTTGGAGACTTCTTGTCTCAATGGGGTCTCATTTGATCATACATAGGGCATTCCATATCAACCAAATCTGCTGCTCTTATATGATTAATTCATCCCAGATATATATTTTTTTCATACTCCAATGTGTTTTAGTGAGTTTAATAGAATACATGCACGCATATAAAGACTAGGGCTTATAAACAAATTTAACAAAGCAGAACAAAACTTGGCACATTTATTAATGTGGACACGAAGCCTGACCAATTAAGTTTATATTTGGCTGGGGTCTATTTAAATACTTTCCCACTTGAAGAATTCCATGCCTCAGACTCCCAACAGGTACCAGTGGTATGCATGGCAATACAAGCAGATGATTAGTAACAGATGGGTCTCTACAAAATGCACATAACGCACAGCGTGTGTAGGATCATTTAAATGAAAATAACTTAAAAAATTAACAGCCGTACATACAAACAAGAATATACCTAGAAATTTCCTGAACACTCAACTTGACACAATACATTATTTTCATAAATATAGAAATAAACTAATTTGACATTGTACCATCATATCACACTGGTGGCTCATGAAGGGCACCGAGACAGCTGGAGCAAAATGTACGGACTGGGAAGAAACTGCTGCAGCGATATTTATTTATTTCACGCGCACTCAAAGTACCAAATGAATATTTGTCATATGGCGTTAACATCTACGCCTCGACACGAACTCGGCAGTCGAGAGGAGTGCTCATTCGCAGGACCAAATGGGAGATTATGCAATGGAATAAGCGGCAGTAAGATGAGACAAAGCTGTACAAGACGGTAGATTGGTGGTATAAGCAAAAAGTAGATTTACTATCTACACAAAGAGGTTATTATTTCCAAATTCAAAGGCGTTCACATCTAAAAAAATATTTTCAGATTGCAGATTCAGAGAGGATGTCCTGGTTATACTAAGATGTGTTATTTAACATTAAACTGTTTTCAGTATGCAAGTTTCAAATGAGAACAACTCTGGTTTAGACTAAGACAAATTGCCTTTAAAAGGCAATAAATATCAAACATATATTAGACCTCGCAGATTACAGAGCGGCTGATGCCTGCAAATGGTTGAACATGGCCAGGTTAGCTGAGTGCCATGCATATTGACCACTAGGGTATCCAGCTGAAGGTGTTCTTCACGATGATGTTGATGGGCAGACTAGTTCATCTTCTTGGTTCTTTCGGTAAAGTCACGTAGAAGAGAAGTAATAAAATAATAAAAATAAAACATAATAAAATAATTCTCACGACGTTTCGGCCACAACGCAAGCAGCCGTCCTCAGGTGAAGAACATGTCTGTCGATAAGACAGAGTCTAAATGACACGTCTTAGGCTTGAGTGTCTATTTAAGCTGTGAGGGAGAGGAAGAGAGCCTTGACAAAAGAATTTGCATTTGAAGAGGAATTTAGCATATTTATGGTTAAATGCAGGAATGCGAATAGTGCTAATTGTGAAATGCGTGGGAGGTGAGCGGGGGACAGACTAGTGACAACACGTTCCACCCTCACCTGCAGCTGAGGCCAGCAGAGCTGCCTGTGCTTACATGGTGGCATGGCCCGATGAGAAGTGAGCTGACCCATTGCCTCGATGGGGTGGCAAATTCAGCTCCATTGAGGAACCTCGGCTAAATGGAAGGCGAACATTTGCCAACTCTGGTGACCCAATTAACCCTGCAATGAGGTCAAAGAAAAAAAAAACTTTTAATCAAAGCCACAACAGAGAGAGTTGCATGGCGGATCTAAGACGCATGGTCTGCTAACAAATGGGACATGTGTGTTTATCGTAAAATCAAACATGAATGTTAAAATTCAATATAATGATGATCTATAAGGTCACGGTATTAGCAATGATGAAAAGGGTGGCTGCTTCCAACAGTGGTGACATCACTGTTTATTGGCAGGGTGGAGCTAACCTACTTAGAAAACAGGACAATACCCCTCTATCAATGAACAGTGCAGGACCTTGATTTCAGCCAGGATCGTTAAGAGTGAGATGTCAGTGAAGACTGTAACAATACCATGAGCGCCAAGCAAAAAGGGCTGCAGATTTAATCGCTAGATTAGTGTCTGTGAACATGTGCATGCATGTGAAAATATTTCATTTACAGCCCAGACAGTGATATCCGCAACGCATATCTGCCACCAGAGGAAGTGAAAAATCTATGCAGGCAATTTAGAATGTTAATCGCCGAGCTTGGGCGGCAGTAATGAGTGGGTTATGCAGGTGAAAGCTGTGACAGCCTCTGATTAATTCAGCTTCACGTTGCTCTGCCAGGTGCACCACAAACCTTGTGCCACTTTCCTCGAGCCGGGAGAGTTTGCGGACATCGGGAAGGCATCGGTGAGACCGGGTGCTTTTCTGGCATCCCCGGACTCCCACTCGGTCCGCGAGAAGGGGACCTGCAGCCCAGCGTCCTCCAGCGTTTGAAGAATGCTCTCCAGTTGTTCCCGCTCGCTTCCAAACTGCTGCCACAGTTAAAGAAAATAAATATCCCAGATAAAAACAAGTCCAAAGTGAAGACGTGACTTTCAGGAGTGCCTCCCTTTTAGTAACATCACCTTGGACTGACTTGTCGTTTCATTTAAACACGCGCTAGAGGACGCAGACATGCATCTAGGGCACAACACCTGGTGCATGCTGGGAGCCGGGTATATTAAGCCTTTGGAGGTCGGCATATGGTGGGTATTGGTTGAATGAGGTATCAAGGGGTGAATCAAATATTTTACGGTTTATGTCTTCATTTAACAAAGCCGGTTGAGGAGGGATAAGTAGGAGAGGAGGCGGCTTTCGTGGCTGCGTATGCAGTCTGATTTCTCACTCGTTTCTTGAATCTTGCTGTAATATGGATCTCTTTTTAAGCGTGACATCACCGTGTGAAGATGCAAAGCATTAATTAGGCTTAGGGGGCACCGTTTGCTAGGACAAACATTGGTCACACATTTTAACTGCTCATAGCTGTGAGAGCATATGGGATCCTCTGCACCGTGACAAATTTGTGGCGAGTAAATAAAGATTTGATTACGCTGAGCTACATTAAGCTATGCAACTTTTGAAGTAAATTAAAAAAAAATTTCTAACCAACTAATTATTATCCATTTGGCCAGGTGGTTCAGTGATTAGAGCTCATGAATTTACATGTGTAGGTTGCGAGATGAAATCCCAATCAGAGGTCAACTTGGCCGTACATTCCTCTTAGTGCAAACGTTTTTTTTGGAAATCACCAGTCGCTGTCTTGGCCCTCTACCATAGCAATGTGGATTCTTTTTGCAATCGCTTCAAACTTTAAAAAAAGATAAGCACCTCCCCCCCATATTCACGCTCTGTTTGAATAGGAAACCCACTTTCAACAAGTTATATTCATACAATGGCAATCTCCCGACACGGTCATATGGGCTGCACGGTAAAACAAGCGATGCTAAATGCACCGTTGAAGGGCGACTATGAGACACTAAAACGTTCTCCGCTTACTTTTGGAGCCGGCTGGGATGGTGACGCAGCACCCCCGGCCTCAGCCATCTCCTTCTCGTCTTTGTCCAAGAGGTACCGCAGGAGCACGTGGTCGTGGTCCTTCTTTTTGCCGTCGCCGTCAACGCCGCCGCCGGCGGTTGAACCGGAGAGTGTGGAAGCAGCGGCAGCAGTGGTGGTGGTGGGAGACGCCAGGCCGGGCTCCTGCTTCACGCCGCTCTCCGCCGAGCCGATACTGCAGAGGCCTCCGGCCTGCTGTTCGGCAGGCGGCTTGTCGACACCGCCGCCGCCGCCGCGCTTGTCGCCCAGCTCCGTGGGCGGACTGCTGTCCTGGAGCAGCTTGTGGAGTATCTTGTGTCGCTCCTTCTTGACGTTAGCGGAGCCAGATATATATATAAAAAAACGAACACGTGCGCAGACGCACGCGTGTGCAAATCGCAGGACAGCAGAGAATGACTTGCATTTGTCGCTGTTAACGAACGATTTCTGATGGATATTTCTTCAGATGTCACATAGCGCTGTGCATGTGACATTGTTTAATTGATGCACCGCTGTTTAAAAGATGACTTTAGCTTGAATCAGGAATGTTGCACAGACAGTGTTTTAGCTAATGTGTCTCCGTAAAGTAATACACACGTTTATCAATTAATTTCCTTTAACAGCATTGTAAATGAATCCAATCATTTAAAAAGTTGATGAAGCAAACTGCTAAATTACGTACACATTTTTTTGCAGACCATGCAGGATTCATACAACCAAGAGATCAGACAAACCAGCAATTACCTTTCCAGCAGCTGATTTTTCATTGTTTACCAGGCATTTGAGGAACATTACTTTACATACGAGACAAGATTGAGAGTGAGGAAGCGTGGTTCAAGGAGGGAAACAACAACACAGCTTGAGAAATATCAAACTCTAATAATCAAGCATAGGGCAGCGACAAAACAGGAAGGTGCTCCTATAAGGCAAGTTAAAATCCGGTGTATAACCTTTAAAGATGAGGCGGCGCTGCTGGATAGAGATGTCGAGGATGCCGTCGCCGCTGGGCAGAATTGTCCCGCCGCCGCTGCACTCTGACTCATATTCGCCAGGAGGCCAGCGGATGCTGCTGTGGTCGGCGAGGTAATCCCAAACAGAGCCTCCTTGCTAGCATCTCCAGCCGCCGATGTGGTGCTCACAAGCTCTCCACCGGAGCCGCCGTTAGTTAGCAGCTGCAGCAGCTGCGTATGCTTCTTGCTGTCCGACGCCCGGCTCGGCTCATCCGGGTCGCCCGACTGCGCCTCACCTTTGCCGTCCGCCGACATATCTGACGAGCCGTCGGGAGGGTCGACGTGTCCCGACGGTGGGTCTTTGCTCCCATCCGTGCTGCCCCTCCGCTGTGACGGGGTATTCTTGGCTGCCCCGGGGAGCACTGGCTGGCTGGGTTTACCATCCACGGCCCTGGGGAATTCTGCGCTTTTGATAGTCTTTGACTAGGTGAGCTCTGTGGGTTCCCGATCGCTGGCCCGGCGATGTCTGCGGGTTGCCAAACCTCTGTCCACCAGGCGAAGGACTTTGCTGGGAGTGGCTGACCCTCTGCGAGATGCCCGGCTTGACATCCTCTGAGGAGTTGGCGAGCTCTGCTGAGGGAACTGGGTGGTCCAGGGCCCCTCTGCTGATTGGAAGGGCTCTGCTGGGATGAGCTGGGTACCTTCTGCTGCTGGCCTGGTGAGCTCTGCTGGTTGATCTGCAGTCTCAGTGCTGGAGAAGTCTGTGGCGTGGACAAGCGTTGCTGCTGCCCGGGTGAGTTTTGACCAGAGCTGCTCGGAAGTCTGTGGCCATGACCAGAGGCCGGAGTGGGTGGAGGGGAAGACAGCGGAGAAAGAACCGAGGGGACGCACGCACCCTCGCTGAGGGCCTGAAGGCGTTCAAGGAAGAGCTCGCCGAAAAGCCGTGGCTTGTGGCTGGTGACATAGAGCTCGGGTGTTGCTGAGCGGTGGATCCCGGGGAGAAGTGCCCTCCGGTTGGCATTCTAGGACTACCGACCATGACAGGGCTGCCACAGTGGTGCGGTGACATCAGGAAGCCCTGATGGTGGTGCTGCTGGTGCTGAATCTGCTGTTGCTGAAGTTGCTGCTGCTGAAGTTGCTGCTGCTGAAGTTGAAGCTGCTGTTGTTGAAGTTGCTGCTGTTGTTGAAGTTGTTGCTGTTGTTGAAGTTGCTGCTGTTGTTGAAGTTGATGCTGTTGAAGTTTCTGCTGTTGCTGCTGTTGAAGCTGCTGCTGTTGAAGCTGCTGCTTTGTTGAAGCTGCTGCTGTTGTTGAAGCTGCTGTTGTTGATATTGTTGCTGCTGTTGCTGGTGAACAGTTCCACCCATCCCAGGACTGGCCAGGTTGCGTGTGACACTGTTAGCCTGCATGCCGGCGGGACCGAACCTGGCTGGGTCCATGGGCGGAACACGAGAAAACTGGAACTGATCCCCCATGGGATTCGCGTTTCCCAGAAAGGGAGGGCACTGTTGTCCCGATCCGCCCTGCTGGCCATGTCCCTGTGAGTGGCTGGGGACATCATGGCCGGGCCTGCCATTGAATTTGCACTGCTGTGACCCGTCATGTCCGCTTGTTCCCTTGTGAAGAAGAATTGGAAATAGGAAAAAAATGTAATTAAGATAAAAAGAAATGTAACGTCCAAAATATCTACATGCAACAACATATAATTATGTTTTATAGCAGTGGGATATAAGTTTTAGAAAATTGGTGAAATAAATTAAGCTCATGAAGTTTGGTGACAGTCAAAAACATTCTTAGCTGTTGAGACGAGGATTAGTTAATATAGTATTAAGACTGACAGGCAGTTAATCATATGACAAATAGAAAATGTACATCTCTTGTATGAACATGAGCGTGAGAGAAAGTCAGCAATGCAGAGAATAATACGGCAGAGCAGACAGCAGGGGCAGTATTAAACTCAGACATGCTTAGTGTTCCCAAGTTAACTTTCACTATAATCAAACATTTCCAGTCCCTTGACGCCCTCTTTCGCTACAGACCATATTAAAAATTGGCAACTATCTTCATCCGTGTCTCTGTGAACTAAGCTCTAAATGTACGTTTCCTGCATGACTGAAATTTGTGCAAGCGTGGCAGAATGCCAACCTCAAGCATTAACTCAGATCAACCTTGGTGTGAACAGGTCCAATTTAACTTGTGGCTCCAATTTATTTGACGATTCTATATAGACCTTCATATGCAAACTACTGCCTTCTGAGATATATATATACATATATGATTTTAAATACTATTGTTCAAACAAGGAACACAGCTTTTATCACCATTATGAAATATAGCAAAAAAGACATTTAATTTTTTACATTCTAATAGATTCTGGGCTGAAATATTAGTTGATTACATACTTCTTAATTTATGACATACATTTGTTCATAAGAGCATAAGTAAGACATTTAGTACCACCATGCTTTGTCACATTGTTTGCACGCTAGGTAAAAACTTAAAGGGCGAATAAGACAAAACAGCAGTTCGCATGCCAGCCCTAATCATGGCTAAATTCAAGCGAAAGCACTCTTCAAGTGGTGACAGAAACATTACATCAGTGGTTTCATAACCTCTGGGTCACAAAATCCTTTCAGGCGGTCGGGAGGTGTGGGGAGGCATACTGTTGTATGGCTACCGTACAGGAGAAGTTTTGAATGTCTGCGGGCAAATGTCACCACCATGTTGCAGTGACAAAACCCACAAACACGCAGCGTGAAACAAACGCCTCTCACATGAATGCTACGTTGGCGAGAGGAGTGGACATGTCATTGCTCAGTGCATTGTGGCCTTAGGAACCCGAGTTGTGTTTTTTGGGTTGTGGGGACCCAGTTAATCTCGATTGAGGGTGCCTCCGAAGCAAAACGTTTGAGAACAACAAAATACATCTTCTTGGTTCTTTCGATAAAGTCACGTAGAAGGGAAGTAATAAAATAATAAAGATAAAACATAATAAAATAATTCTCACGACGTCGTGAGAATTATTTTATTATGTTTTATTATTTCCATTCTACGTGGCTTTACCGAAAGAACCAAGAAGATGAATGCCTGCAGTCATGAAAGCTTTAAATTGAAACAACAAAATACGTTCCAGCATGTCATGTGTGTAATGCGTTACAGCATGTCATGTGTGTGAGGGGCTTTACCGAATGACGGTATGCATAGACACGACAAAGTGTGGCTGGTTGGTGGCTGGATTGCGCAGAATCTGACTCTTCGTCTGGGCAGAGATGATTGTACCATCTGCCAACATCAACTTGTAGAAGGGGCTGTGAGCAAAGCCAGACTTCAGTACTGTTGGATAAAAAATACAACATGCTTCCTTGTTAGCATTATTATTAAAACCACGTTGTTTAATTGTCGGCTGTCTTAAGGATTTGAATTCATGTTGGAAAGAAGAGTTAAAACATATACATAAATGTTTTGTTTGCTATAAAATGTACGAGCTTACAGAAAATATGTAACTTAGTTAGAACAAATGTTAACAATGTTATCCAAATATAAAAGCTACTCGGCAATTTACATTTGTATTAGCCAATTTTCCACAATGCACTAATGGAAAGGAGCATCTTAATCTGCATTATGACTTTCATATGACATAGGGCCTGAAGCCAATGGGCAATCATATATAATGGAAACTTTCAGAACAAATGTGCTTTTATTTAGTCAACTCATTGTATTACTGTGCTCTATCCAGCATCATTTGGCATCACACGGGGTTGGGAATTGCGTAGAGAATGACCTCTAAAGTCACGAGCGACAGACCTACCTTCCTGGTTGTGTCGTCTGGCAAGTGACATTTCATTGTCACGGGTCTGACAAAAGGTGTGCAGACATCGTCGTACCACCTCCTCCCAGCCAGGCTTCATGTACGCTTGCGCGGCATTTTTGTCAATGAACACAATGTTCCCTGTGCACATGTGGCAGACACGGGTCAACACATGACATGAACCACTTGTAACTTCCTTAAGGGCCTGCTTCATCATGTGGCTCAACAGATGTTTTATAATAACCTTATTGCTATCATGAGCAGTGTGTGTTGTCTTTTTGCTTTCAACAACAGCCCAAGAAAAAAAGACCGAAGAGTATTATTAATACAACTGGATAACAAAACCATATAGAGCAAGACATTTTTTGGACAATGGTGTTTCTTCAGAGAAAGAAAAGACAGAGAGGAGACCAAAAAACATGACTTATATGGTTGGAGATTACATTTTTACAGTGTCGTGGTAGAAATTCGAATTTAAGAGCAAAATTTTTGAGGTGGGTTACGGACAGTTTTTAACGATCAGATATTTAATGATGGCAAGGCCCAAAAGCTTACGATATATACATTTTTTAGTTATTGGTTAAATATTTCTGGTTAGGCTCCGTGCGCTCTAAGAAGACTGTATTGGAAGGAATGTGCCGACGGGCTCTTGTAAGAAAACCCTCAGCTTTTCCACCTTACTCTTAGCATTATGCGTATAGCACAAATGTGTTAGACAACTAATTGAAGCTACTATACAAGTGAGAACTCTACATGTATTATTAATAAATCTCCAAATAATAAATGGGGAGATTTTTTTTTCTAAGTTCAATGCGTCACAGCATTGTGCTGTATATTCGAAACCAGCAGGTATCGAAACATGCTTCAAAAACTGCCGGTGAAGTGTTTATTACATTTTATGAATGGCACAAACAAGAAATAGTGAAATAATACCAGGCTATAAAAACGAAAAGATCAAAAAAATAACAAGGCTTCAAGATTTACACTACGTTGTTGTATCATACATTTAAAATACAAATTTAAGCAAGCACTCACAAAACAATGCCCCTCAATGCAATATTCAATTTCTAACTAAAACTGTAAAGCATTAAAACGTTCTACGCATGGGAAAATAGTAATGAATGATCTGGATGTGCGATATTACTTTTGAAACTCACCTCTGAGGTCTTGCCTGGTGGTAAATGTTTCATGTGTGGGTTTGGATTGCGTTCTGTCCTTGGTCAGAATAGGCCGTGCCACACAAATCAAACACGACTGCAGATCTGCCAAGAGAGATCCCCAAGACAAGTAAGTTCATCACAACATTCATCCGTCAACAGCTGCTACTCAATTACACCGTCTGCCATATATAATCGCCATACAATTATTATGCGGGCCATATTTTCCCCCCAGGTATCATTTACTGCATTTGTATTGAATTAGTATCGTCATTCATGGAGAATAAATCACAGCAATCTATTTGGTTTTGCTGGATTACCAAAACCTGGGCAATTTTCTTGCCTTAAGAACATTAGATTATATAGATAATGAGGGCAATGAAAGTCAACAAGTCATTAAAAGAACAGGATAGCGTTTCCATGATTGACCACGAGGCAAAACAATTAAACTGAAACTTTGTTGAGCAATGTCCAAGTAGGCATAATGTAGAATTTGGCTTTGTATTCGCATTAATGACAGGGAAATGATATTCCTCTTGAAGGCATGGGGTTGGTTTTAGATTTAAATTAAGGTGAGTATAATATTATCACTTTGGTATGTTTGAGTTTGTGTTTAGTCTCAAGGTGATAGCAAACATTGGAACTTCAAAAGCCAATTCATGTTTACCCTTTCCTTGCAGAGCGAATATACCTCGAATTCTTCCCATGTCTCTTATTGTAGAAGGCCCATTGTTGGAATTGTTTGAGTTTAAATAAGGCTTACTTACAAGGTTATATTAAATCTCAGTTTGTAAATCCAAATACCCTTCCCCAAATCATGGAACTATCACCTCCATCCTCCATAAAAAACCTAAGAAACTACAGAAGATGTTTCCACGCACATTGGGAGGTCGCTCCTTCTCCAACTTCTGCCAACAGGGTCGAGAACATCCCATCTGATAATTATCCGCATGGCAGACTTCCCTTCCCATGTTCAAGTCTGGACCCAAGTCCTTCCTCTCTGGTCCATCTGCACAACCTCACCGTGCATGATAGTATTCCTCTGTTCAAATCCCCCCTCCATTATCGATTAACCCCACTCATCCAAATGTGTCTCATCTCTTGTGCAGCAACTTAAGATCCGATTACCTCCGATGAGCATGGTTGGCTACGTACGGTGTGAGATAAATTCAACATGCATTTGTACATAAAATGCGTAACAAATCCAGATTCTGCTTTGAGAGCGTGGGAATGTTGTGTGCAAGGCTCTCGTTTACTATCCAAGTGAAGCTCCTGAATACAAGATGTTGTCCCAGCTTTTACAGTCAGCATTGACATCTGTCATCCCAAATTGATTCAGCTTTGTATACCACTATTGTATTCATTATCACACCCCTTGGCACTATCACTGTCACGTTTACTGCATATAGATGCAGGTGGAAATATCCGTAGGGATTTCATTTCTTAAATAATCAAATTGCACTCAGGATTAACAACCGGATAAGCTCTTACCCTCTCCCTCCTCCAGAATGGACTTGGGCTGGTAGACGGCAAAGCACTGCATCGTCTCGTACTTCTGCCGCGCCTCCTGGCAGTTGGATGCTTCGTCGTCAGAGTCGTCCGGGGGCCGCACGAGCATGCGGCAGTTGAAGGTGTGCGAGTTTCTGCGAGTGACGTCATTGGGCCACGGCACGCCATTCACTGTCATGGGCAATGACAAGCAAAAAACAACGTGGACAAACATCAAGCTGATTAATAGACGCGCAGCATGCTATCCGCCATACATGCAACACATTGTGCACATGAGAATTGATTATTTCAATTAATTAATATTATACGCGAATGACTCTTAAGCCAAATGAATAAGACAGAACATGCAAGACCCGACAGTACAAATAAGACAAAAATGATGATAGGATCAAATCGTGCCCTCTCATCAAGACGGTTAATCAAATCGCCATAAGCATGAATTGTTACATGTCTACGATAAAACATACATAAAAGCCCCAATGGTAGTCAAATTAGCCTGTACAAATGCAGCTTGTGACAATACCATGAGTTTTTTTTGGTACAATCCTAGAGAGAAAAAGTACTGCAGAAAAATTCCAGCATGCTTACTGGAATGTTATTAATTAGAAAATTATTCCCATATTACAAGAACATTCAAACAAAATGTAAGGAACATTATTTTACCCATGGATTTCTAATGTCCCTGTCCATTAACTAGTAGCAAGTATTCAAATTAAGCGGGTTCAGCTGTGATGCACATGTGATAAAAGAGAAAGAAAATTTAAATCAGCAACAGCCCAATCTGGCCTTCAATGGTAACATCATGCCCGGCATTGAATTTAAATGCTTTTTAAAAAGCAGTCTCTCTTTATGTTTTCATTTGCTGAACATTTGATGGAAATGAAAAACATTTCAGTGGCCATTCAAAATTTTGCAAGTCAGGTAAAATGGTTTTGGCATGAGAGCAATCATTTTCAATCTCTTAAAAAATTATCAACTACAGTGGAACCTCGGTATACATCCTTAATTCGTTCCAGAAGGTAGGACTTATACCGAAAATGACGTATACCAAACGAATTTTTCCCATAACAAATAAAGGGAAAGGAAATAATCTGTTCC